CGGAGAGCGAAACCTGCCTTTTCAGAACGGCCCCCAAACGGAAGTTCATGCCGCCTTTGCCAAACTTCGCTTTTCCTTTTTAGAATGTTCTCTCGGTCACACACAAGACAGTTTTCCCTTTCGGAAAACACAGAGTGACCCTCAAATTCCAGTGTTGGGGGGGTTCTCCTAACTTTTGAATCTAGATAACTGTCGAGTAGAGCTCTAGAAACGACAAAGGAAAACTGTGGGTTTGCTCTTCAAAAGTGCATTGGATCGGGGCGCCTGGGGGCTCAGTCGCTTAAGCGTCCGACTTCGGCTCAGGTCACGATCTCGCGGTTCGTGGGTTCGAGCCCCGCGTCGGGCTCTGTGCTGTCAGCTCGGAGCCTGGAGCCTGTTTCAGTCTGTGACTCCCTCTCTCTCTGACCCTCCCCTGCTCACGCTGTCTCTCTCAGAAAAAAAAAAATTAAAGTGCATTGGACTTTATTCTTTATTTACATTCCAAGCACACATTAATCGCCGTAGGTATGCTCCCCCTGCGGTAACAAGCTACCCCCCCCACGCACGGCCGCTTCGGCGCCTGTGCACCGGCACCCGCCCTCGGCTCAGAAGGTGCCTGTGCCGCGCGTGCGGCGGGGCGCCCCGCTGGGCGGGGGGCTGCGGGCCCCTGGGGCCCCTGGAGCTGCCCGCCCCACGCTGGGCGGCGGGCCGGGCCTCAGTTGCTCAGGTAACTCGCAGGGACCGTCCCTGAAACTGCAGAGTCCGAGTGTTTAACTTCCGACGTCTCCGTCTCAGGGTTCGTCAGCGGGTCAGGGGTCCCCCCGCGGCTGCGCCTCCGGCCCTCGCTTCCGGGCAGCCGCCGACCGTGGCCACCTCGGGTCACCGCCGCGCCCCCGCTGCGCCAGCTGCTCAGGGCGGGGGGGGGGGCGCTTCCCAGCGGCTCGGGGAGCCGAGGGGAGCGGGCGGCGGGGCACAGGGAGCCCCGGGCCGCGCGCCTCCGCGCACGTGCGTCGCCGTCGCCGTGCGGGGTGAACGTGCCTGACCCCCGCCCCCCGCCCGGAGCAACCCGCACAAGGTCACGGGCGCGTCAGCCGGGGCCTGCCCGGCGGCTGTGACAAGGCCCCCGTTTACAGCTTCTGCAAATTCTCCGGCAGCGCCCCAAGTCTCCAGGGACTCCCAAGCACCCTCCTCCTCCGCGGAGACCGGGGGGGGGGGGGGGGGGGGTTCTCTGGAACCATCGAAGAGAGGCCTCTGGCTCCTCCTACGTGAGGCAAAGGTGCGCAACAGGTTGTTGCGGAAGTATGGGTGGCCGGGGAGGGTAGGGAGGCGGGAGAGAGGAGGGCGCGGAGGGGAGGCCGGGGGGGCCGCCAGGTGCCCCCCCCCGGTGCTGGGGCGACGGCGCCCAAGGCCGGGGCTCCCGCGAGGGCCCAGGGCTGCCGCCCCGCGTGGTGCCCCTGCAGCCCGGCCGCCGGGACCCCCGAGGGCGCGCGGGGCGCAGGCGCGGAGGGGGCGGCGCACAGGCGGGGCAGCGGGGCGCGGGGCGGCGTGGGGCGCCCCTCCGGCCCGAGAGGCCACGGTGCCAGTGTGGGTGCTTCGGTCCGTGGCCAGAGGGCTCGGGCAAGTCCCGGCACGCACGCCAGGCTCACCTGGGCTTACGAGGGGCCTTTGTTTGTGATCCCAGTGAAAACAAAGCTGCTAATTGAGAAACACGAACAGGAACGTGTCTTTAGCTTCCTAAAGGGAGAGGTTACCAGCTGCAGCACGCGGGAGGGAGGGGAGACGGGGGGGAGGGAGGGGAGACGGGGGGGAGGAGGGGAGACGGGGGGGAGGAGGAGGGAGGGGGGAAGGGAGGCCCCGCGCCTAACGTGCCCTCGGGGCCGCAGGGCACGCGTGGGCTCAGGCTTCCAGAACCCCCGGCCCGGCTCCCAGGCCGAGGCCTCGCGCAGCCCGACGGCGTCTTCTGTCTTCCGGGTTCCAGGAAATCCGAGGCGCGACGGGAACCGACGGCCACGTCGTCCTGCGTCCCCCGAGCCAGAAGCGCAGGCGGTTTTTCTGGAAGGTTCCCGGGGCCTGCGCGGGCCCCGCAGGTGACACCGCGGCCCCCGCCGGCCTCACCCGCCTTCCCGGCATCGGGCGCCCAACGGCTCGGATATTTCCATTCGAAAACGGGTTCTGCGGGAACCTCATTTGTGAATCTATTACAGAGATTAATAGATTATTTCTCCTTTTTCAACTAATTCTCAGTGGGGAAATTTAACCATATGGTAAGGAGAGAATTAGAATTTCATCACATTAGAGCCAAATGTAATGAAAAGAGCCCAACACCTGGGGCCAACTCGGGAAGCCACAATTAAAAGGTTTTTAATGAAGGCGGAGACAGCAAAGCGTCCCGGGCCGCACGAGGAGGTCCGGGCAGGTGCGGGGCCGCTGAGCGCCGTGCGCTCCCGGGTCGCGCTGGGGCCGCGTGTGCCCCCCCCCCCCGGGAAGGGCCCCCAGCCCTGCAAGCGCAGCGAGGCGCAGCCAGACGCCCCTGGGGGCCTCCCTGGCCGTCGGCTGTTTCCGGGTGAAGGCAGGCGCGGGCGCCCCCCTGGGCGCGCGGGGGGCCGGGCCGCGGTGGCCGTTCTGTCACCTGGGTCTCAGTGCGGAGCAAAGTTAGAGACGCGCTCCCTTCCCGTGTAGGAAGTCACGTGCCTCGCGGTCCCGTCACTGCGGCAGCTGTGCGGACACCGCTGCAAACGCACCCTCCTTTTTATTTTTATTTATCTAACGGGCCGCGTACTCAGGTTGCTCTCCATTTCCCTTTCCCCCCCGCCCCATCCGGATAGGAGATGGGCGGTGGGCGTGCGGGGTGGAAATGGGGCGGTGGGTTCGAGGGGGGCGCCTGCTCCGCGCCCGCACTAGCTGAGCATCTCGGGTGAATTTAGGGCGAGCCTGCGGGACCCCCCCCCCCNTGATCCCAGTGAAAACAAAGCTGCTAATTGAGAAACACGAACAGGAACGTGTCTTTAGCTTCCTAAAGGGAGAGGTTACCAGCTGCAGCACGCGGGAGGGAGGGGAGACGGGGGGGAGGGAGGGGAGACGGGGGGGAGGAGGGGAGACGGGGGGGAGGAGGAGGGAGGGGGGAAGGGAGGCCCCGCGCCTAACGTGCCCTCGGGGCCGCAGGGCACGCGTGGGCTCAGGCTTCCAGAACCCCCGGCCCGGCTCCCAGGCCGAGGCCTCGCGCAGCCCGACGGCGTCTTCTGTCTTCCGGGTTCCAGGAAATCCGAGGCGCGACGGGAACCGACGGCCACGTCGTCCTGCGTCCCCCGAGCCAGAAGCGCAGGCGGTTTTTCTGGAAGGTTCCCGGGGCCTGCGCGGGCCCCGCAGGTGACACCGCGGCCCCCGCCGGCCTCACCCGCCTTCCCGGCATCGGGCGCCCAACGGCTCGGATATTTCCATTCGAAAACGGGTTCTGCGGGAACCTCATTTGTGAATCTATTACAGAGATTAATAGATTATTTCTCCTTTTTCAACTAATTCTCAGTGGGGAAATTTAACCATATGGTAAGGAGAGAATTAGAATTTCATCACATTAGAGCCAAATGTAATGAAAAGAGCCCAACACCTGGGGCCAACTCGGGAAGCCACAATTAAAAGGTTTTTAATGAAGGCGGAGACAGCAAAGCGTCCCGGGCCGCACGAGGAGGTCCGGGCAGGTGCGGGGCCGCTGAGCGCCGTGCGCTCCCGGGTCGCGCTGGGGCCGCGTGTGCCCCCCCCCCCCGGGAAGGGCCCCCAGCCCTGCAAGCGCAGCGAGGCGCAGCCAGACGCCCCTGGGGGCCTCCCTGGCCGTCGGCTGTTTCCGGGTGAAGGCAGGCGCGGGCGCCCCCCTGGGCGCGCGGGGGGCCGGGCCGCGGTGGCCGTTCTGTCACCTGGGTCTCAGTGCGGAGCAAAGTTAGAGACGCGCTCCCTTCCCGTGTAGGAAGTCACGTGCCTCGCGGTCCCGTCACTGCGGCAGCTGTGCGGACACCGCTGCAAACGCACCCTCCTTTTTATTTTTATTTATCTAACGGGCCGCGTACTCAGGTTGCTCTCCATTTCCCTTTCCCCCCCGCCCCATCCGGATAGGAGATGGGCGGTGGGCGTGCGGGGTGGAAATGGGGCGGTGGGTTCGAGGGGGGCGCCTGCTCCGCGCCCGCACTAGCTGAGCATCTCGGGTGAATTTAGGGCGAGCCTGCGGGACCCCCCCCCCCGAGTCCCGTCACCGGATCCAGACCGTCCGACGCGCGGGGCGGGAGGGCGGCTGGGTGGCGCGGGGGGGCGGGGAGGTGGGAGGGCGGCTGGGTGGAGAGGGGGGCGCGGGGGCGCCCCCCGGCCCGGGCCGTGCCGCCGCTGTGCAGTCCGGGCCGGAGCGGGCTTTCAGCGTGCTCACTGGGGGGTGAACGTGGCACATGTCAGGCTGAAGGCAGTTGTTGGGTTACCAACGCGGCCGGCGCCTCGCAAACATATGCGCTGCGCCGTGTATACAGATGGCGCGCACAATAATGCAGCAGGCGCCTCTTATAAAGCGCGAGCGGCTGCCCGTCCTCAGACCTGGGAAATGAAACTCTTCAGCCTGGCGGCCAGACAGCGCCTGCGATTGTTTGTTACCGTTTTAATCCTATTAATTAAAACGTTAACCTGATTGGGTGGAAAGCGCTGTCCCAACAGGCGAGTCGGCTTCATAATCACCCGCTCGGAGATCGCGATGTAAAGGCTCCCGCGTCCGCGGCGGCGGCGGCTCGGCGGCTCCGGAGACCCCGGGAGGGGCCCGGGCGAGACCCACGGCGGCGGCGGCCCCCGTCCCCGCGCGCCCGCCCGCGCACCATGCGGGGCCGCGGCCCATGGTGAGCCCCGGCGGCCAGCTCCGCCGGCGGGAGGCGAGGCGGCGGCGGCGGCGGCGGCGGAGCGCGCGGGGGAAGGCGAGGAAGAGGAGGAAGGGGCGAGGCCGCGAGCGGCGGCGAAGGCAGCGACGCGCGCAGCGGCCCGGGCGCCCGGCTCCCGCGCGTCCCCAGCGCCGGCGGAGGCGGCCCGGCGCGCGGCCATGGAGCGCGGGCTGCACCTCGGCGCGGCCGCCGCGGGCGACGACGACCTCTTCGCGCACAAGAGCCTGAGCGCGGCGGCCGCCAAGCGCCTGGAGGCGGCCTTCCGCGCCGCGCCCCCGGGCATGGACCTGCCCCTGGCGCCGCCGCCGCCGCCGCCCCGGGAGCGCCCCGCGGCGTCGGCCGCGTCGCCCCTGCGCGGCTTCGAGCCGGCCGACCCCGAGGGCGCCGGGCTGCTGCTGCCGCCGCCGCCCGCGGGAGGCGGCGGCGCGGGCGTCCCCGGGCTGCTGGCGGGCGCGGCCGGCGTGGGGGGCGACCCCGGCCTCAGCGCCCTGCCGGCCGGGGCCGCCCTGTGCCTCAAGTACGGCGAGAGCGCGAGCCGGGGCGCGGCGGCCGAGAGCAGCGGCGGCGAGCAGAGCCCCGACGACGACAGCGACGGCCGCGGCGAGCCGGGGCTGCGCGCCGGGGGCGCCGACCCGCGGGCCTCCCCGGGCGCGGGGGGCCCCGGCGGCGCCAAGGCGGCCGAGGGCTGCTCCAACGCGCACGGCCACGGCGGCGGCAGCGCGCCCCCGGGGGGCCCCGGCGGCGGGGGCGGCGGCGGCGGCGGCGGCAAGAAATCCAAAGAGCAGAAGGCGCTGCGGCTCAACATCAACGCGCGCGAGCGGCGGCGGATGCACGACCTGAACGACGCGCTGGACGAGCTGCGCGCGGTCATCCCCTACGCGCACAGCCCCTCGGTGCGCAAGCTCTCCAAGATCGCCACGCTGCTGCTCGCCAAGAACTACATCCTCATGCAGGCGCAGGCCCTGGAGGAGATGCGGCGCCTCGTCGCCTACCTCAACCAGGGCCAGGCCCTCTCGGCCGCCTCGCTGCCCAGCTCCGCGGCCGCCGCGGCCGCCGCCGCCGCCCTGCACCCCGCGCTCGGCGCCTACGAGCAGGCCGCCGGCTACCCGTTCAGCGCCGGGCTGCCCCCGGCCGCCTCCTGCCCGGAGAAGTGCGCCCTGTTCAACAGCGTCTCCTCCAGCCTCTGCAAACAGTGCACGGAGAAGCCTTAACCCCCGCCCCCCCAGGACACTAGACCGACCCCGGAGCCGGAGGAGAGGGCGAGGCCGCCCCCCGCCCCTCTCCCTCCGGGCCTCTCGCACTTGCGAGGCGCTTGCGAACAAAACAGAGGCGAAAACTGAGAAGTATCAGAGACAAGCGGGACTCTGAGCCTCGACATCCCCAGAATCGCGGTCTTTGCGGGGGGGGGGGGGAGGGGGAGCTGGGATGAGTACGGATGTCTTTTTCTTTTCTCAGAAAAGTGGCCACTTTGGTGGCAGCCTAGACCGCAAGGAAGCTGAAAATGCAAGTTGGGAAGGAGTCGCTCGGTGGTTAAGCGTGGAGAGTTTCTATTAAGCGGCAAAATGCTGATCCTACTAATAATTGTGAGTTCGGCGAGTGCTGAGCGCAGAGGAGTCCGGGGATGGGGGGCTCGTGGGATGAGGACTCATTCAGACAAATCAGAAAGGGCACTTGAGAATAAAATCTGATTCTGAGCCAGGAGAAAAACTTGAAATGTAGACTTATTTAAGTGGGGGGAGACAAACCAGAAAGAGACACGTTGCTATGGAGAGACTTGTATTTTTTATTGTCTCTGAACTTTAATCCTGTGAAAATGCTCAAAAGTTTTGGCAAGAGTGATACAAAACAAAAAAACTGACTGTGGCTGAAAGAATTGCATTTAAAAATATTTATGTGCACCTTGTTCCTTTTCACTCTGCGATGATGTATTAACAATTCATGGTATTTATTTGTTATTCTTCAGTGACCCTTCCACATCAACAGTATTTATCACGTGTTAAGGTCATGGGTCTTTTGTGCAGATTTTTTTTTAATGCCTCTAAAATTCTGTTTTATAGATTAACTTATATTGTGTGCCAAGTGTTGAAAAGGTTTATTTGCCAACAAGTATGAAGAGACATATTGATGTATCTGAGCTGCTTAGGTTTATCAAAGGTCACCTGGATATTTTCAGTTGCATCATCCCTGTATTTAAATTGAGCTTTAATAAACTGCTTCAGTCCAAAAATTACAGGAAAGGTGTATTCTTAATTGATGAATGAATTGATCTCTTTTTTCGAAAGGGGACTCCTTTGCATTCTAAAAGGGAAGGACATCACAGCAATAGACCCTATAAGTAAGAACATGTTAAGCAAATATTTTTCCAGGCTGTGCTGTGCATTTTTAAAAGGTCTAATTTAATTGCTTTTAATATATATGTACATATATAAGTTATTTTAACTGTGGAGAATTATTTAAGTTAAAAGACTGGTTTGATTTGCCTATGGTGTGAAATCCTTTGTTATTTTTCTAAAAAAAAAAGTAATAAAATTTAAAAAGAAGTCAAATAAAACTAAGGAAGAGCAAGAAGCTATTTACCCAAAGTGAGCTTTCAGTTTTAGTTTGCATGGCTGTTTGCCTGCCTTTCTATCCTATGAAAATCAAGAAAACCTTTTTAAAAAATGGAGTCCTGCTATTTTCCACTCCTTGCAGATGACACAGATTCAGTTTGTCAGGTTGGACGGCGAGTTGGGAGCTGTGACGGACCTACTGGCGGGTTTTGGATGTGTAAAGAGTGATATATACATATATATATTAAATAGGTCAATCAGACTATGACAGCTATGTACGACCATTTGTATGTGTACCTATGTCAGAAAGAATCTTTATTAAAATATTTTGATCAAACATTTTATTATGCTGTGCTTTGTGGAAGGAGCGATCCCCTCTCTGCTGTGTTACTTTGCTTGAAAGGTGACAAAAAAGAAGGGAGTTTCAGAGAAGGTGGAACCGAAGTTTTGGCAGGGATGCCCGGTGAGGAGTTGCCCCGCTTCACCTGTGTCCTTCTCAGTGGGCTGGCGGCGGGGCCGGGTCCCCGGGGCCGTGGGGTCAGTGGTGAGGCCCAGAGGACACCCAGAGCTGCCACCTGCTGGCATGAACTTTGCAGGCCGCGCTGCCTCTGGGGCCCCTGCCCCACGCACGTGGCTCCGTTAACCGCGCCCGGGCCCAGCAAAGAGGGTAAAGTTTCGTGAAGAATTTGAGTGGAAATTTCTATCTCCAGCTGCCTGCAAGGCAAGGCGAAGGGATGGATTTGGATTCTCTGAGAATGGATTTTGGTGTGGCCTTCCGCTTTTTTTGTGAAAGGGAAAATCAACCAGGCTTAATTGTAAGTGTAAACAACGCCCATAGAGATTTTCAAAACTTGCTAGGGTTGCTCGTTAATGAGATTTTTAGGGACTCTACTGGGATCGCTCTGAGCATGGATTCTATTAAAGACTGTCTGTATAGGCTTGTATTTGGATCTTAATAATGTCCTCAAATAGAGACGGCTTGATTTTTGCTGTGGTGGAGGTTAGAGGTGGCGGCGGTGGTGGTGGTGGGTTGTTTAGAGTATTTCCTCTGTAGGCAGTTTGCTACATGCATTTTTGTCTGCATAGCCTCTGCTCATAATGATATCCCTAAATGACATCAAGCTCAGTGGGGGGTGAGGGAGGATATTTTCTGCTCCACTTGCCATCAAAAAAGATTAATCAGAACCTGTAACTTTTCAGAAAACATAACAGCGAAAGGCCTTGAAGCTGGAGCCCTCCCAGTCAGGGAGTGGGGGTGGAGGGAGGGAACAGACCGGGGCAGCCCCCAGGCAGGAAGAGACCGTCTCTCAGCATTTACCAGACAAAGCCTGGGTGCGTCTAATTATGATTATTAAAACAATTTCCATGACGATGTCTAATATTATGTTAATTTGAAAACAACTGTGTATGAAAACTGTCGACTATAATACCTAAATTCATTTAATGAAACACATCGTTAAGGCAATTAAACCTCCTGGATGTGATTAAGAAACATAATTACGACACTGTTCTGCGCCATAATTGGGTGTCTTTAATCAAGGGGTAAAGTGATCAGCAACACAGCCATTAGTTTGTATTGTTCTGGGCCTGCTGTCCATCATTCTGATTAGGAATTAACCACAGCCACCATCAGCGGATGTTTCTTCTTTTTGCATATTAACACCACAGGACATACATTTGCTGCAAGATCCACTGCTTCACAGTTCTCACTACTAAGAAGGCCTCCTTGAGATCCTCTGTACCCTCTGTGTTTATTACCAGAAATTGTACAAACAGCAAACCTTGAACTTCAGGAGAAAAAGACATGCTCATAACTTCTTTCATTCTTTGATAATTCAATCTCCAGGCTTACTCTTGGACGAGGCCTGGGGTGGTGGGGGGAGAGGCTGCTGAGAATAAGGTGAAAGGTCGGACGAGTATGTACCCTTACTACGAATGGCGAGGAACCACGTTTATGCTCGTGTTGGTAATTACAGGCGAACCAGTTCTCTTTCCAAATCCGGGAGCTGCCCGCGTTTGGTTCTAGAACAAAGGTAGGACCCCCGAAAGGTCCGGAGAGGGGTTCGGGCGACTCGCTCGGGCGGCCGTCCAGGTGGCCTGAAGCTTCTCGAAGTTCCTTCAGCAGCAGCTTTTGGAGAAGGAAACCTAACTCTTCCTCCACCCGGCAGCCCCCCTGGGCTGTTCCCCTCCTGAGGCTGGGGCCCTCAAGTGCGCGGCCCAGTCTAGAAAGTTGGCCCCGCGCTGCTGGGGCGCAGATGCACTTCCGGCACGTCGGGCCGCGGGGGTCCGGGGAGGCGCTCCCGGGCCGGAGCCGACACCCCCCCCCCACCGGCACCTTACGTGGGCGCTTCTGCGGAGAAGCCCCGGTGATGCGTCCTGCCCCGCCTGTTGGCGCGCAGACCGTGCGCAAACTGCGGGGGAAGGACCCTGGGTCCCGCCTGGCTTTCTGTTCCGCCGGTTTCCTTCTCCGAGTTCTCCCTAATTTCAGTTGTTTCCTCTCAATTCTGATTCCCATCTCCAGCTTCACACCGGCCACCTACGGAAGCGGCGGGGCCGACGCGCACCTCGCGGGAGCTCCCTGGGTCCCCCCTTCCGCTCCCCCCGCCTGGGGCGCGCGCGCAGGCGCGCCCTCCGGGGGGCCTTCCCCGCGCTCCGCGGCCGGGCTCCGCCGAGACCCCGCGCGCAGCCTAAATTCTGCCCCCGGGGCCCGCCCGGCAGGCCCGGGACGCGGGGCCCCCGCCGCACGGACTCGGGCCTCGGACGCGGGGCCGAGCCTCCCCACGCGCCCTCGGGCCTGCGGCGGCTCCCGCGCGAGGGGCGTCGACTTTTCCAATATAATGACTTATGAAAGGTATAATCGTGTGTTAAATGGAATCCTCCGTTTACCTGTTAGTGGTGTGCTCCGGGCACGTTTACGGATTGGATGCCATGGTAACTAACTACCACCGGGAAGAGGGATCATTCACGTCCCAGACTTTGAAAAATAACGACGAGGGTTCACTTCGCGGCTCGCGCACGTCGTGGCGGCTCTCCGCGTGCAGCGACCGTGCGAGTGGGGACCGAAAGCGTGCTCGTCCAAGGCGGGGGGCACGGGTCGTGCTTCGGGAGGCTCCTGAGCAGACCCTCTGATGACACCGTGATTCAGCTGCGGACGTGGTGGCGGGGAAGTTACCAAGTGCGCAGCGCGGTCGCCAAACAAAATCAAGTCGCTCAACGTAAACACCAGAAACAGAAACAAGTTTTCTTTTTAAATGAAACGTAGGTCCGGCTCAGTGATGCTCGTGCCGAGCAACTTTACGTCAATTAACAGTTTTTGTCGTGCGGGCAAAATCCACGAGCCCGGCTCCTGCGCGCTCTGCGTTGGCACTTGTAACGCGGACGCGCCCGGGCCTGCAAATGAAGGTGCAGGTTGATTTCAGTTTGGCCCTTTAAATCAGACCCTGGGCACAGTAGATGCGGGGGGGGGGGGGGGGGGGGGGGGACAGGAGACATAACCTAAGTTTAAGAGAAAAACAACTTCCAGGGCAAGAGCCTTTTTCTTCCTGCTGGATCTCCGGCTCTTCGGATCTACTGCTGTGTGATTATTAGAACCAGGTTACTGTAGATTGTGCTGAACACCCAGGGGTCTGTCTCACCCCCAGCCAGGGCACATGTTTGTACTGGGGACCGGAGAGCAGAAGCGGGGCGGGAGGCAGTTTTCCAGCCACGGTTGTAGACCGAACGTCCACACTGCGCGTGCCCCGCGCGCCGCGCCGCTCACGCTGCGCCCTGGGAGCTTCCCCGCGCCCGCGGGCCGCCGCAGAGCACCCCTTCTCCAGCCCCTCCTGGGCGCGCAGGCACAGCCAGCCTGCAGGTTTCCGGGCTCAAAAAGGAAGTTCA